ATAGGACAGGCAGGACTCACGTCCGTAAGCCAAAAGTCCAGCCAGAGTCCAGGGACATACGCAGTAGGAACAGGAAGCGGTACAGAGGGACGGGGGGACGAAGGGCATATAAAGAAAACTGCGCATAAATTATGAAAAGAAAAACACAAAAATATACGTAGGAAAAATTGCGTGAGGCATTTTTCATACATAAAGTTTTCCTTACGCTACCATTTTCTTGTGGATGCTGCTGTCCAGGTGATGCTCTTTAAGGAAATTTTCATTGAGTTGGATTTTCTTTAAAGAATAAGAATAGTTGATCAGATACTGTTACCTCTTTTTTCTATATTTATTTCTTGGAAAGTGTAATTCAATAACCTTTAATATTCCTTTCTTTAAATTTAAGAAATCTTTAGAGTATTTAATCGTCTTCATATCGCAAAGCACTTTCCTTGAGAGACTTGCCATAACATCCACTTGTGTTTGGCAAACACTTAAAGCATCTTAAAGATTTATGTACTACCTGGGGGCTACTGCTCTGTTGTGTGGACCCCGAAACGCACTTCCGTTAATTAGGAATTAAGTGTCCGCCTACGTGGCACTTCATAAAAGTCGTCACAAGGAAAACAAAATAAAAATAAAACCCTGGAAACCCCGAAAGCCCCGAAAACCCCGAAATTCAATGTAAATCTATTAAAAAGATGTGAGCGGATATTTAGCGGATAATTTAATTTTCAAATGCGAGACGGAACTGAAATGTTCATTGGGTTTGTTAATTAATCATTCCTGAAGGGGAATCTCGGGGAATAATCAATCAAAAGAGTAAATATTTGAGGGGGATATAAAAGTGAATGGCGCTTGATAATTAGAGCCCCTTAAATCGCATTCAGATACAATTATATATCTGATCATCTTGCAAGTATGTATCTCAAGTGGGTTTTTGTTGCATTTGCGGACATGACTTAACGATTTCATTACGCGTTTTGTCAATTGTCTAATAGCTTTGACAACCACTTTAATTAACAGGCATCTTTGGGCTTTGACGCGGGGAATGTCACGTGGACTCATCGCTCGACCCACGATTACTCATTGTCTATATGGTCTGAACGCTTGATTTGAACTATAATTAAAATCACCGTCCCACTAGGGTAATCCCTGAAAATTAACACCTAGAGGGATACCTCACGCAGGCTGTAATTTCTTTGCGGTGTTGGTTTTTTATTTGACTAAAGTCGGGGATGGGTTTCTGTTCTGCTTCAGTGGTCTCTGAAAGTTCCCCCCACAATAGAATTTGCATAATCTAGACTTGAGAAATTGGAACAATGAAAATCCAATCGATGGGATTCTAGGGAATTTTTTATAGATTAAACTGTGGGGTTTAGGGAATTTTTAATTTATGGAAATTAGGGGAATCTTTTTTTGTGATTTTTTTACACGATGATAGAACCTATTAACCCTTAAAACCCATTCAGAAATTAATGAATGAATGAACACTCAATGATAGATTTCACAAAGAAAGTAAAATGAATTTAAAAATTAAATTAAATTTCTATGACACTTTAGGAATTAGTCATTTCTATAAAAAAGAGTATTATTTAATCGGAGTTCCTCTACACTAATCAGATTACAATTTTTATGTTGCCTCTGCCCTGCCTCTTTTTTATGGGAAATTTCTTTTGATGGACAACTAAAATTTCTCTGCCAATTAATCAGGCAATTGTTGTTATGCAAAGTTTGTTATTATTTATTTGGATTTTTATATATACGGACGAATCACACGTCCGTAAAAAGGTTGCATAACACATGGCGTAGTGCTTTCCGTTTCACGTTTTTACATATAATTATCGGGGCAAGGGCTTAAGTATTGTAATTTGATTTATTTGTGAGCGTCTTCTTCAGTGGCATGCGGCCACTTATTTTGACAACAATTAGCTGACCGCATTTTGATCTCTTTGTTGGCGTTTGGACTGTGTCCGAGCTGGCATTTTGTTGAGGTAGGCAAACAACAGACGAAAGATATGGCCAAAAGAGAAAAGGTGAGTGGAAGATTTAAAAGCCGCTTATCATACGAAACCTCCGAAGGGGGGATTCCTGTTTTCTCCTCTCGGGAAATCCCTGACTTGTCGAATGCCTGGTTCTTGCCATCATGTGCTAGCCATGGCCAAGCCGGTTTGCGGAACCAGTCTTTAAGTATTTCTTATTACAAGCCACATAAAAACCCAAACAAACTCTGCTCTGGGGTCAGCTGTGAGACGCAGTTACGTGCCACAAACCACACAAATATTTACCCAATTCGTTTATGCTTATTCACATTTGTTAACCATATTTTTAGTGATTATTTTGACTCATGATTGATGAAGATTGAGGGGTTTTTCTTGTCGATAGAATCTCGGAATGAAGCAATTATTTATGGCGCTGCTTGTTTGGATTTATGTATTTTTTCAATGTCAAGGCCGTTTGTAAATGTGTTCGGATGGGGAGAAGCAGGCGTTTCTGTAGAGTGGGAATCGTCTCTGAGGTTTTCTATGGCTTTTTTTTTAGCATTGTATAAGATGGAAGTTTCTTTGTTGGTCTGGTGATTGTGTGGAGACTCAAGATATTTTTGTATAATATTTTCTATGCGTTTTGAAGACTTTCAATTGTGGAATGAGTTTCAGGTTTATATTGTTGCATGATGTCATATCTAAAGCCATAGATGTACCATGAAAGGTAGTTCAAATTATAGAAAAAATATAGAAAAACAAATTATGATTTTTAAACAAATGAAAACATTAGGAAAGATCTTTGTCATCTTTATAGTCATAAATCTTTTGTCAGATATAATTTTTATCAGCTTCAATGCGAAAACTACACCAATTCTTTAAGATATTCTCAGATATTTCACTTTTCTTCAAAGTAGATTTCACAATCATGACAGATATTCGTTTTGTATCAAAGTTTTTGTTTATAAAACCATCTTTATGGAACACAATTAGAGCATTTATGAGAGACGTATAACCAAGCAAGTTCACAATTGTTCTCTTGGTTCACGGCTCTTGGCCTTATCCCAGCGATGGATGGGGGGGGACTGGACTTATCACACGACTGGCTGGGCCTTATGATATCACTAAGTACACAACGCGACCAAAATTTTATAGCACTTAGATTAGGGTTTTGGGATCTCAATAGCAACGAAGCAGAGACAAATTGTTGCAGGGCAAAGTCCTTACAGGGTTTTCCACTGGCGGCTGGCAGTTCGTTGATCGTTTTTCTCGTACCGCTTGATAGATCCGCACCGTTCGCCGCTTAAACCGCAACTAACTCGCGTCTAGTGCAGCCAAGGCGCTTTTGAAGCGGCAAAAAACGCGCTAAAACTAAAGGCCCAGTTTATGGCCAAGTCTCTCGACTCGACCCTTTCTGCCGTTCGGCTGATAGCAAATACAGTTCGTGGCTAAGCATGATCGCTCGTTTTCACAGGCAGACAGAGAGAGAGAGAGAGAGAGAGAGAGAGAGAGAGAGAGAGAGAGAGAGAGAATGGTGGTGAGAGCAAACGATCGAGAGAGGGCTTTGGTTTTTGCCGACTTAATTAGCCAGCACTTGCTTGTCGCTAGCCCACCGCCTGCCTGCTGGTGCTGCTGCGGTGCTGCTGTTTACATTGTTAACAGTGTAGACACGTTAACAGAGATTTCTTCTGCTTATCTCTGCTGATTGCTCGAATGTTAAGAATGTCTCTCGCATCAGAGGCTGCCGACGGCCGACTGCCGAAGCCGACGCACTGCTGCTTCCGTGTGTTGTCTCTCCCTCTCCCCCTTCGTATCGCTCCCTCCCCAGAGAACAGATCGTTTTCCAGTTTCTTTGCGATTTCTTGCATTTATTAAAACTTGTAGTTTTCGGCCGTTGTTCTGGCAGTTGCCTGGCTGTACCAGTATTTGCATTGATATTCTAATTTAAAACAAATGTTGCGGCTGTATGTAGTCTGCAGTCTGCGAGAATTGTGTTCGAAGTTGATTGGTTTTTTTGCACCTTTTTCATTTATTCTGGAAATGTAGTTGACACTGGGTGATGGCAGAAACTGGGTATTTGGTTGGGTATTTGTGGGTTGTGAAGGGGCCAAAAACAAAGAAACAAGCATTGAAAGGTCTTTTGGGGGTAACGGATCGTTTAAAGCTTCCTTTTACATTTCGTATCCATAGATTTCTCAGATATTTGCTGTAGTTCCAAGCATTTATAAAAACTGCTAACCAATCGTCCACCGTTGGAAACATTATTTGTGTATCTTATGCATTATTTTTATTTTTAGCCCACTAAATCTTTAAATTTAAAAAATTATTACGATAAATATTGTAAAATGTTAGCTATAAAAGACGTATTTTCAATGAAACACCCAGCCGATCAAGTGTATCTTCCCTCAAAATCCATTTCTAACATACAAATTATTCCCAGTGTATCCCAAACCCTTATTCACCACACATGCGGACACACACATACACTCCCACACAGATTCCAAAGAGAGAGAGAGGGAGCTTTACTCTCTCTTGCTCTCTCGGGAACTTCATCCGGCAGAAGCAGCAGCAGCAGCAGCATCCATCCTTCCTCCCATAACCAGCCGAAGCGATGGCTCCACGAGGACCGAGGCGATGGCCGACGACGAGAAGGAGCCCGGACAGCTGTGTGTCCCCGAGGCACGTGTATCGGCGGTGGCATGTCCTTTTGGCAGGCTGCGCGATGCGTTCAGCTTTCAGTTCGCTTGTAGACGTGCGTGCGTCAAGAACCTGCCACAACTTCGGACCTCTGTTTAGGAGAACCATCGAAGCAACGGAACCATCGGAATCTGAATGACGGACTGGCGGCAGGGAAAGTTGAGAATGTGCTAATACGAGAAAGAGGCCCCTAGCCTACGTCTACGTCTACGTGTCCGTGTCTGTGTTCTTTACGAGTGACGAGTGGTGCGTGCGGTGTGTAAAAGTGCGAGACAGTGTCCTGCGGCGGACTAGCAGGTTGGTTGCTCCTCCTGCCAAGTGTTCAAGTGTATTGTATTCCCCCCTCCCCCACCCAACACAAAAAATACGATAAAGAAAGTTACAAATCTGCTGCCGCTGCTTCTGTTTTGGCCGAAAGTTTACCGAAAGGATTAAAGCCCGCATCCCCGCCAACTATAGGACTCTGATACTCCAGCACTCCTTTCTCGGAGGTAACTTGTCTAGTTTTATTTGCTGTTTCTTCTGTTGCTGTTTTTACGGTCCGCTCCACGCCTTTGTTTCCCAACTTTAATGCGGCCGAAAACTCGTGTTGGCCCTTTGGTTCGGCCCTCAGGGAGCCATAAAATAAATCAGCCAAAATATAGGTACCCCTTTGGGCTGTCCCCAGATCTCCATAGAGATGATAACATATGCACAAAAGGCAAACAGACAAGATTGGGATAGTCTAGGGCTTACACGAAATTAGCTGCATTTGACAGATTTCATGGGGAAGATGTAGGTCTAAAATATTCTTAAGATACGAGTATATCCACATTGAATGGGAATTGAAAATTATGCCATGACTCATATATAGAAAATGCATTTAAATATAGATTTTTGCTATATCTCTCTCTCTCTGTCTCTCTGTCTGTCTGTCTTGCGTGTGGTGTCTCTTGTTTCTCTTTGTTGGAAAAGGTTTTATTTATGGTCCTTTCAGATTGGCCCTATGCCCACGGATACATTTGGCCGAAACTTTTTTGTTTCACTGTCCAGATCTGGTGGCATTTTACGAGTGTACTATATGTGGACGGCACACAATAAACATCAACAAAAAGAGCTGTAAAAGAGAAATGCCAGTTAACTTTCTCCACATTTATCAAAGTTTTTTTCTTCGTTCTTTATGCGAGAGGAGAGCCATGAAAATCTTTCCGTAATTGAGTTATGAGCCACGGCCCACGGAGCAATAACCATGACTATAACCAGGACTAATACTTAAACAGAAGGTTGCATTTATAGAGCCAGACACATCCACAGACACTTAAAAGAGCAGGAAAAGGGCGAAGGGGCCACCGTAGACAGCACAAGAAATGTAATTAAGGCTCCATCAAATGAGAAGCGAGACACCAGACAGACAAACAGAGAGGCAGTGAGTGCCATAAAACATGTACCCAAACAGAAATTAAGGCATAAACTACAATTGTTGAGATTATTGCACGGCGTCGTCGTCGTCGTCGGTGTCGGCACAGGGGATCCTTTTGAGTTCAGGGTATGGGGATGTGCTTTTAATGGCTCTTTGCTTGCTTTATAATTTTGCAATTGTCATTGTCGTCACTGGCCTGGCACTGTAATTTTCCTTTATCGAATTGCTGTTTGCCATGGGTCCCCGTCCCCGTCCCCTTCCCCGTCTCTGGCTTTGTTTATTTTTTTTCTGCTGCACCCCAGTCTTTCTCAAAGGCAAATGGGGCGTATACGCAATATAAATAATTGATGCCCAAATTGGAAAATGACCTGCAAGCAAATAAAATTCTAATTATAGCTATTGTCGTATGCAGAAAGTCTCGAGAAATGGGGTCGTTGACAGCAGGAAAATTGCGCGGAAAAATGGGAAGTTTTCTATAGCTAGTCCCACGACTTCAGACTATCCTTTATGTCCCACCATTCCTTCTTTTTCATGGGAAATCCCACACGAAATTATTAAAAGATTTCCGTCTGACATTTAGCTTTAATGATTATTGACAAATTCCATTAAGATTTTTGTCCGCAACGCAACACTCGCTCTGAATGTCACTTAATTTGTCCATTAACATTAACTTTTTCCCGAATTCCCATTACAGTTATTACATAATTTTTTTAATGGCAAAATTGTCCAAAAAGCTATCGGAAAATAAAGGAAAACCCATTGGAAAATGCTCGAATTGGTGGGGAAATTAAGTTTATAGTTTCCTAACGAATTCTTAAACTTTCTTAGCTTTGATTCAAGTTTTTCTTTGAAACTTTGTAATAATTATTTTCGAATTAGTTGCTCCCTTAATTTCCATAGAGAAAATCTCTTTCAGGAGTGGCCTCAAGCCTATAAGCTCCTTCTCATTAATTTTCCGCTTGTCGCCAACGAAAGCCGCTGAAAAGTTTCAAGCTTTTTCTTATTGATAAAAATGGGCTACGGAAAAGTTGCATCCACCAGGGGAATGATGACAGGTAGGGTCCTGGTGCCCTGGTGTCCTGGTGCCCTCGGGTCGTCATCTTCCATGCCAACAGGTTATGGAAAATGCCAAGGAAAATGGTTAACGAAATGAGCCCAAAACCATTCGAGTTCGCAATGAAATTCCAAGAAAAATGCCAGGGAATAGAAAAATGTGTCGTTTGAATGCCTGTAGGGGGTGGGGCCGTGAGGCTATGGGGTTGCCATGTCATTGACGACAGCTGCTTTCATGTCCTGTGACCTACTGACTCGCATAGCCTACTTTCCGGGCGCCTACCGAGGAGGAGTACGGATACGGCACTCCACTACTCCTGGCGGAAGCTGCGCTTAATGGCAGAAATGTCCTTGCCGGCTGCATTTTCCCCGCTGACACAATTAAGTGCATGAAAAATACTTTGAAAATTTAATTAAGGTTGCCCCCAGCCCCCCCCTCATTGACGTCACCGCATAACCAAGTGAATTTTCTGAAAAGGAGTGCACATTCTTAGATGTAAGTAGTTCGTTTTCGCTTTGTGGCTCCCATGATCTCATCGATGCCTTTGTCGCTTGATTGCCATTCCCCACATGATGGGGGGGGGGCCTTGATAAGAATTTATAATGATGTCGGTTTCGGATAGACAGTGAGAAACTTCACAGATGCATAGTAGTAGGAAATGCGATATGAATTGATAGCACACGACAAGCGGCAATCAAGGCAGAGATAGTTTTCGCAGAGGAATGTGTGAAATATGGGGGTTTTGTTGCCTCTGGCGTTTGCTTTAGAAATTCAATATTCTCCATGCAATGTTTTCTTTAATTGCAAATTATTTCCCAATAAAATATCCTATATTTATGGGAGCATTAGTTACGCTCAGATAAAATGTATAATTTTGTTTGATTTAATTGCACTTTTACAGGTGCTTAAAAAATGAAATTTCAAGCAAAAAGTTCTCTCCTCAAACATTGATTCTGGGGAGGCTACAAACTTGTTTTATTCAAGATTTGTTTGGATAACCCATAAAATGAGTTTTGCATAAAAATTCGAATTAAAAGCAAAACGAAAGGTACCGAATGCAGGCATACACTGGGAAAAACATACGTATATAAAAATCAGAATTTAAGCCAAAGGAAAAACATCAAAAGCAGAGGGGAAATACATACATATATGGATTTGTATTACGAAATGCCTTTTCTTTTTGTGGAATTCCTCTTGGTTTTCTCTCAGTGTATGCAAACAGTTTAACATAATCAAATACGGAAGATTCGACAGCAAAACAATCTGATTTAACCACCAAAAATCCTACCACCTAAAGCAAACACACGTGGATCCGATCCAGAACAGGTTTTTGGTCGGTTTTCCGGGCTTAGATTCTGCCCCCCCCGAAAAATGTAATTTAAGTTTGTAAAACATTTACTTTATGGCAAATAAAATGGCGGTGGTACGAGTATGTGTGTGCCTTAACTTTGGGGCCAAACATGTTTGCTTTTAATTAAAGGCCTTGGGCAACAGAGGGGCGGACAGACAGGCGGATGGGGGGATGGACGGGCGGATGGACGGGCGGATGGACTAAGCAAGCTTTTTGACTGCCGAAGCCGCAATTGCGATTTCCGAAGCAGAATTGCAACAAAATGAATTATTTTTGCCATATTTCTGTGTAAAACAACAGAAACAAACACGACTATATATTTTGCATATTGAAATCTCATGATATTTATGTGTAATCCCGTGTTCCATTATGAATCGAAAAAATGAAAAGAAAATAGTTTTCCAGACTGGCAGAGCCAATGCCAATGCCAAATTGTGCCCTCCCTCTGCCCCTCCCTCTGCCCCTCCCTCACCATCCCTGCATAGTTCAAATATTTGTTCATGTCAAATATGAAACATGGTCTTCGAATCGAAGCGGTTGATACCCTTTGCGGGTAGATTGCTACTATGAGAGACTTTTGATTTGTATATCAACCTACAAGCTCTTCTGTTTAGCCTTATTAGTTTATCAGAAATATATAGCAGGACAAATATAATTTATAGTTCCTTTGGTTTGCAAACAGAATCATTAAACCATCTGAAAGAGCATTCAAAAAGAGAAACTATCTGCAATGCGTGCAAAAAGTTTTGCTCCGACAAAAGTAAGCACTAAAACAAGTTATAAACACACACTCAAACATTTAAACATTCATAAAAGACGTAGTATATAAAGTAGGTATATGTGTTTATGTTTCTATAGAGAGTCTGCAGTTGGCTGCTGGTTTCAGGGCCATCCTGTTAATGTACTCTTTTTTCCTTTGCCCCCCCCCCCCAAAAAAAGTTACATGAAAACACATCTCGGAAAAAAGGAACATGAGATATTTTTCCGAATGAAAGTTGAGTGATGCGATGATGAAAAATATATGTTAAGAAAAAGGAAAGTACGAGTAGGAGTACGAGTAGGAGTACTTTTCTGAGTGAGAAATCAAAAGGGAAATATAAATCCCATGCCGTGCCGACAGCTGCTGGCGGATATTGATAATAAATCTTATGTCAGGAATTTCACTTTCCTTCACTTTTAGTGGTTGTTCTTTCGTTCTGTAAAGTGTTTATTGATGAGCGGTTCGGGTGCATTTTTATTGGGAAATGTTCCCGGGAAAAGCATGGCTCTCCCTGTCTCTATTTCTGCAATTGAAATATTTTGGGGAAATGGATTTTTGATTTATGTTTGAAGAGGGAGAAGATGTTTTACTCAAGGGATATTTAAGTAATTGTACTTTTCATTTATTCCAGGATATGTTTTGCTATGATTTTTGGTGTGCTTTAAAGGAAATATGTTTTTCCTACCTAAAATTTAACTGCAATTTTATTGGGAAATACTCGCGGAAAATACCATGGCTCTCTCTCTCTCTCTCTCTGTCTCTGGAATTAAAATATTTTGGGAAAATGGAGGGAGAGAATCTTGGGATATTTCAGGATATGTTTTGCTATGATTTTTGGTGTGCTTTAAAGGAAATATGTTTTTCTTACCAAAATTTTAACTGCAATTTTATTGGGAAATACTCGCGGAAAATACTATGGCTCTCCCTCTCTCTTTCTGTCTCTGCAATTGAAATATTTTGGGAAAATGGAGGGAGAGAATCTTGGTTTCTTAAGGGATATTATTCATTTATTCCAGGATATGTTTTGCTATGATTTTTGGTATGCTTTGGGTTAAAATTCAACTCCAAAAACACTTTCTCTTTTTATCTCTTCCTTTAAATGAATTCAAATTTCCTTGAATAATCATTTGCATAATATACTTTTTCTGCGGAGAGTATCCTTCCCGTTCCGTTGCCTAATTATTTATGCATCTATCAAACATATTTCATTGTCGGCGAAATAATAAATGGCATAAATTACAATTCAATTTCTTATGGTCTATTATTTAATGCCCTGATATGGGAGGGAGGTACCGCCACGCCCCCACACACAGGATATATGGTGGAAGCCATAAAGCTGAAGCTGCTGCCAAATAGTAATCATATTTTTTGGTAGGAGCAACGGACGCCCGCCCGCTCTGGATAATCCCATTCGGTACAGGCCAATGGTTTCTTATAGCGAACCCCCACCCCCCTCCCCCCTCGGAGCACAGTCTTTTGCTGTGTCCTTGTCTTGGCGTATTCATAATTCGATTTCTCATGCTTTTGCCTGGCTTTGCCTTCGGTTTTCCCTCTACTTAGAGTCGCCCCATTTGCTGAGTCTCGCCTTTTGCCTTGGCCAATGTTTTTGCGATTATTCTGTGTGTGTGTGTGTGTGTGTGTGCTGGGGAGGTGGGGGACCCCAAAGGATACAGTGGAGTTGGTCAGACAAACGAATTATGGATTTCTTGCTATTATCATGGCCCAATGCTCTTTTTCTCTGCTCCTCGGCTCGGCTCGGCTCGGCCCCTCCCCTTCACGCCTCATCCTGGATTATTGAGGCTTTATTTTATTGCCATGAACAGGGCTGAGAATAGGGACCTGTGCTGTGGTCCTGTGTTGGTTGGTTTTTGTGATGCATTCGACGTGTTCTGGTTAACAGATTCACTGGGATAGGTTCCTGGTAGGGGTTGTATTTATGGTTCCCATCGGAGTTGCTCTGGAATTAAGATCCTTAAAGGAATGTTACTTCATATTCCATATTTCTAAGATATATTTTTATGCTTCTTTATCAAGGATATCATCCCTTGGCATCCCTTACAATGGATACCATCGAATCGGACTCTCTTTCGGAAAACTTTTGCCAGAAGAACTTATTTTTTGTTCGCCACTGATAAATAATGTATTTGTAGAGAAAACAGACACTGGCATAGAGATGGAATCTCTCTGTGTTGCTTGCAACATTGTTTGTCATTTGGCCTCCTGCATTTTGCCTGAAAGCAAACAAAAGTCAGAAATAGTTGCCTGGCTCATTTACAACATCAGCCACCAGCCATCAGCCATCAGCCAGTCTTGGCTTGCAATCAGTTTTGATATTTTTTACTGTAGTTTTTCCTGTCTTTGTGCTCTGTCTGTTTCCGCTTTGGACAGTGGACACTGGACAGTGGACAATGGACTGTGGAGTGACCTTGTCTCTGGAGAACCCGACTCTCGCCGAAGGAGGAATCCAGTGCGCCCATTGATTTTTGTGAGGGGGTCCCTCCCCGTTTGCTCCTCTAACTCGACTCGATTTATGGCTGCAGCAACAGCAGCAAAGGGAAACCCCCTTTGGTTTGACCCCAAAAGTTTTCTCCTATTTGGTTTTCCCATAGTTTTGTTTGTTTTTGCTGCTCAAAAGTTTTCCCTTCCCTTCCCTTCCTGCATTTTCTGTTTCGGACACAAACAACACACAGCCAGCATTCAGCATCAGATACCGATTCAGATGGGATTCAGCGCTATCTTTTGTGGGTTTAATCAGTGGATTTAATGTGGCATAGGAGTGACGGACGTGACATTATGTTAATGCAATTAAAATGCGAAAAACCTGGGCATTTTTCTGGGCCATTTGTGCCATTTCTGTGCCTGAAACAGACAGATAACATTTCAAAAGGAAAACTTTGTGCCTGCTGTTAGTTTAACCTTCAGTTGAACCTTCGAAAACAACGAAAAATATCCCTCTGTTCTCTGTGCATTTTCCTGCAGGCGGAATACAAAATTGGGGGAAAATAGTATTATTATTCAGATTTCACAAATTTGCACATGCGACTGGCACTGGAATCAGCGGCAAGGAGGAGCAGCATCCTTGTTACAACTGATTGATTTGAGGGGAGTCATCGAGTCGATTTGGGTCCTCCAGGCCATGTGGCAGGATTGGAAGCAGACTCCAGAAGGGGCCAGCCACCAGCAGGCAGTGAGGCAATGAGGCAGTGGTGCTGCAGCAGTTCGAGTGGAGGTGAAGTGGAGGCCAACAAAGCCCCAAAGACAAAGCGCGAACCGAAAGCACTCAACGATGAGAAGGAGGAGGAGGAGGAGAGGAAGGTCCGGGGTAGCACTCGGCTTCTGCCAATCCGAATGGTGGAGGAGCAAGGCAGGCATCAGAGGCGGCAGCCACTTAATGAATGGGAAACGAAAGTCTTTCTAAACGCCGCAGAGATTGATGACGCACTTGATGCTGCCTCAGCTGGTTGACTCCTGCCACTGTGTGCCACGGTGCCTCTTCCACTGACTCTGATGCTCACTCCGAGTCCCGTGGAGACGCCGTTTTGCGCTGTCCTCGCTTCCGTGTCGAGTGTCCTTTTTATATAGTCAGTCACTTGGTTGATCAGTGGAGTGGTCTTGTCGCTGTCTCTCTGCCCCTCTCTGCTTCTCTCTGACTTTTCTGCACTTAACCAACATTTTGTCATTTTGACAGGGAACACATGGCCCTACCCTACCCTGCCCTGCCCTGCCCTGGCTGCCGTCCACACGGACTTCTGCCTTCTGCCGCCCGCCACCTTCGCTTAAGTGCGGCCAAGTAAAAAATTTGCATACCCAGCAGAACAGCAGCAAAACTGAATGTAACACACAGAAAACAAAAAAAAAAAACGAGAGAACGAAGGACCGAGGGACCGCGCTGCAAGTATCTTTTGGCCCAAAAATTGTTACCATAAAATTGCCGCAATGATGAGACACCAAAATTTCCCTTGGTTTTTCTTAGGGGCTTAACTTTTACTTTTCACTTTTCTCTTTTTCTTTTCCCCATTTTCTCTTGCCCGTTCATTCTTTTCGTATTGTATTTGTATTTTCTCGAAATTCATTGCCTGCTGGCGGGGCTGGGCTTATGTGGCGTATGCGTAATTTCTGTCAGGATTTCACTCAGCATTCAGGATACACTCTGCTGTGGCTCCGGCCCACATTCTGATTTGTAACAAAGCGAAACGATGAGTCGCGCTTTGCATTTCCCGCGTCCCATCAGAGAGTTTTCCTTTGGGGTTTTTGTCATTAAATTTAAGGATCCAAGGGCTCCTTTTAAATGATAAATTTAGCTAATAAATTGTGTCGCAATGGGAGAGGAATACATGAGATACATTTAATGGGCATTTCGAAGCATTTAAGATGGAGTTTTACTTGCCACATTTCTGGCGAAATTCCCTCCAATTAGACTCCTTCAATTGCGACTTTCACTTAGGTCAATGACAGCTGTCAATCGTATCAGCATGCTGGAACACAATTTGTCACGAGAAATGGTATTTCTGGCTACAAACCGACCTCATAGGCGGTATAGAGGTGTAAGGGACCTCCAGGGGATGGAAGGTGTGTGCACACTTTGATTGAATTTGATTGTTGAAGACCTCAAACTGTTGCTGACAGCTTCATAGAGGTGGGAAATTGTGTGACAGATGAGAACCACGAGGATATATGTCCCTTAAAGTGAGGCCAGATTCTGCTTTAGAATTTGCGGAAATTCCGAAGCAATTTCCCCACAGCTCCACTGTTGAATTTTCGTGCTGGCTCTTCAGGAATTCCTTTCTCAACATACACACAAAAAAATATCTAATTAAATTTGCGTTTGTCAAAGGAAAATAGTTTTCCAGCAGCGAGCGAGTCCTGTGTGCACTTTCGGGGCATCCTGGGGATTATGGCTCCCTCCTCCAAGTATTTGCATGAATAATGTGTTTCGTAGCCGTGTATCTCTGGTAGGATATTCTTGGATATTAACCGAATTTCTGCCTGATGCTAAAGTCCTTGGAAACCATTTTTGTTCCCTCTCTACTTGCAGCAGTGAAAGGCCAAAGGTGGCGCTCAGGGCCGTACGAGGACGAAGGACTAGGCAAAGCTAAAACCAAAACCCAAAAGCCGCCAAACTGCAACTGAAGAAGGAACTTGCCACCGACTGAAGGAACACAGCAACGGAGCCACGAAGGAAGGGGAAGTGGCAGTGGAAGTGCCAGTGGCAGTGTGGCAGAGAGGCTGCAACCTGTTCCCGAAGTCTAATTAAAAAGCACTGCACGGGAGGCTGCCTGCCGCAGATTGCTCATACGCCCCGTGGAACGCGAGTGTTTCTTGCTGTCTTTTTGTGTGTGTTTGTGTGTGTGCGAGCGTGTGTATGCTGTGTGTGTGTCTGTGAGAGTGCATATAATTTTTCGGTAAAAATTAAAGCAAGGCCTCAAAGAATTACTTTGGGCATGCGGCTGCTGCAGCCACAACTGTTGCATGCAACATGGATGGCGAAAATCGGATTATACTCAATGTGGGCGGCATAAGGTAAGTGTTTCAATTCGAATATTATAGAATATTTCAACAAATTGTGGCAGATTAATAGAAAGATAGAAAAACTCCCCATTAAATTGATTTTTTTCGTATTTGGAAATTTTTGATATCTTCCATTGATTTTTAATTGAACCAAAAAAGAATACAAATTCCATAGAAACAAACATGGAAAATTGTATCTAAAATAGATTATTTTATTAAAAAGAAAGAAATACAATTTATTTAATAAATAACTTCAAATGGAAGCCAACCAAATATTCAATTAGCAAAATGGCCACAAAAATGCACAAAAAATTATTTTTCAGAGGCCAAAAAATCAAAACTATACACTCATAATAAATGAGCAAAAAGTTCTTCAATTAGAAAAGTGGCAAAAAATTCTAATTGCAACCAAATTCTAATTGAAATATGAAAAAAGTGTATTTTAAATATTTATGATAAAAAATGTACTTAAAATTCGATGCCAACGGCTTTAATTAATGAAATTGCAACAAAAATTGATTATTTTCCACGAATATTCAAACAGAAAATATCAATATTTTATCACAAAAAAGAATATTAAAATCTCGGAAAATACAAGTTTTTCCCGTCTAATAAAATCCACATTTGTACCTTGTACATTTGTCTCTGCGATTATTTTCCCGAAATCTTTTTGCTTTGCCATGAATTTTCCTTTGAAACTTAAAGGATATTCAAAGAACTTTTCCACTGGGGAAATGCAGAAGGAAAACTATTTTCCTTGTTTCTATTTACACTCCGGACGTGGCCAAATCACGTCGCACATTTTGTTGATTTAATATATTCACAATAACAATATTTGCTTAGCCATGGACACGCCTCATGCCCCACCACCACACAGGCACCTACACATGGCTCCCATTTGGGCCATGAATAGTGTTTTCCTTTCTGGACAGGATATTGGCTGTCCGAAGGATAGTTCGAATGTGTTTCCGTCATTATTTGGGCAGAAACAATGGATACACAATACAGAGGGCCTGTTATCTCTGTGCCTGAAAAAAAAAACAAAACAAAAATCCACACACAAAAATAGCAACAGGAAATGTTGACTCTTGTTTGTGCCCCATACTGGAATTTCAGTATGTAATTTCATGTAAATAACTTTTCTTCTTCTGGCTTTCATTTGTAAGCCCCATCGTGATCATCATCATCATCATGTGAGGGACTTGGAGTCCTTGTCTGCTGCTTGAACGCACTTTTCTGGCTGAGAGCATTTATCCAGCTGCAGCTTTTTCCTTGGTTTTCCGTGTCTAGTTAATAATTTATGATTCCGTTAATGGGCGGAGAAGGGCGGGAATGTGAGAGATACGATTAAGAGTAAATCCTCTCTGTTTTTTCCTTTAGTTTTCGGGGCACAGAAGGTACGGATTTCCACGAAATAAATGCCTGTTTTTCGAATTTACATTTTCAATTAAACAAACATAAATTTCAAGTGCTTTTCTTTCTTTTTGTTTTTGTTTTTTGCTGCGAACCGAACCACTCTGACCGACACAAAGCGGGTTAATTTTATTGCTGCCAACATATTTTGGGCTCTCGGTGAACCGCACTTTTGGAAAATTAACAATGCAATTGCTATACAGACAGATAAAAAAAAAGATGCATCTCTCAAACGGAACCGCAACACTGACCACACAAACAGAACACAAATAAAAAACGAGGAGGAAACCCTATAAAAATGTGTAGGAAAATGCATTTTGTGGCCCCCCCCTAAAACGCAAGGCCATTAAATTGACACATTTCTGTGGGGAAAAATAAAATATTATACCATACAAAGGATCACTTGAAAGCGAAGGGTTCGACGGGGGGATACATATATGTATTAGCGGTAGTCTACCGGCACTAACGACTAAGGGAATACCTATTACCTGGGGACTAGGAAAGGAAGAGTCCCATAAAGGGCTTGCATTTGTGGTGGACTTTCTTCCTTCTTTCCTGTAATAAGCATTCGATTTATAGATAGTATCGATACATACCTATTTATATTTCTACTAAAGTAGATCTTCATATCTTTCAAGCGATAGATGCTACAGCTTATGCCAGATCTTAGCCAATCTAGAATCCCTTGCCTGTGGCATACAAACCTTCCGCACGAATACGCCCTCCACTTCTACAGGGCGGGGTATCAAAATGCCTTTAGTTGTACACAAAATACATTCTCGTACATTTAGTGCAAAGCCGACATTTGCCGTCTAAATGGATGAAAGCTTCGCTTCGGTTTCAGTTTCGTTTACAGTTTTGTGGACTGCAAAACTGGTGGACTGGTGGGGGGTTGGTGGCTGAGGGGAGCGGTGCGGTGCGGTGCGGTACGTCTGTGGAAGTGAGTGTTGTAATATGTCACACTACTCGAATGCTTGTTTAAGCCCTCTGCAATGGCGGTGTGTGTGTGTGCGTCTGCTTCTAGGACGGACTCGGACTAGCATACACTTTTCCATAGCATACTTATGCGGGCTCCCCGACTTCCTTTCTCCTCCTTCTGCTGCCTGACTGGCAGCCTGCTGTCTGCTTGCCGACGTTTTTAGCACACACACACACAGACACACACACTTGCATTGTTTGCCAGAGAACTGCGTGTGTGTGTGTAAATAGAATACATTCTCATTCTATTGTAAGTATATTCCTCTGTAAGTTGTTTGCTATTTTTCTCCTTAAAAAACCTCGTGTCGCCTTTAACAGGAGAGAACACTGTGGCAGAACTGTGTTTAAAATACTTGTGGCTCTAGAAGGAAGAATCGTGGCGGGTGGGGGGGTGGTAGGGTATGTTCCTGGAATCAGTCTCTTAAGGAAAACAATTGAAATGCGAATCTGTTGGATCTGTTTCCCAGAGAACTTGACTTGAGTTGAGTTTTCGGCATACCTTTGATGTTTTTCTTGTGGTTTAAACAAAGCTTTAGATTTATTTTTGGGGTTAAATGAGGAGTTAATTGATAGTTTGAGGATACTCCAGGATGTATTTGTTCTTGGGAGGTGGAGAGTGGTTTCCATTGGCTAATTGATTTCCATTTCTGCCTGTCTTGATTACCAATTTGATTGCCTCATTTGCAATAGAGAAGGATAATTGTAGCTGAATTATTGGTTGACAATATAGCAACATATGTGGAGGATATAATGAGGTTTGCTTTGCCATAATTGAAGCCTGGTTAATATCAATCGAATCAGCATAATCAGATGCGAGTTAAACCATGAAGGAAACCTAAAAGGTTTTCTGTGAAAGACTTCCTCCAAAGATGCCTAAAAGGTTGCCCTCTTCGTGTAGTCATGACCTGAAATTTAGTAAAAAATTACCAATCATCAGCTGCCTTTTCATGTTGCTTCAATCATAATGGAAATAATAAATATATATTCCAAAGACACAGACCATCTTTGAGGGGGGAAAGCTCTCTCCGTCGATGCGATGCTTATCATTTCTGATTACGCGGCATTTTTTGTCATAAAAGATCTCTCGTTTCTTTTCAGAAATGAATTTTGGGTATTTGGTGGGGCTGGGGGCTGCAGCTCATCAACGCAGACAATTGCGCGCTGATTGTATCTTGGAGATACACACACACTCTGGAAGCAGAGGCAGTAAAGTTCCCACTTCGGCACACACAGATACATTATCCTTAGTGCCTGCCGCTGGTTGTTTGCTTGCGTTTGTGTGTTTGTGTTGGCTGTTGAGCTTGATGTTGCGTATTTCCCCTGGCATCCACACTCTTTTGTTGCAGGCACCCTTCAATCTGGTGGCATTGTGTGTGCGAGGGAATTAAACGAAATGGCTAATGAAAAGTTTAACAGTCAATAAATAAAACCAGCATCAACCATTAGAGAAAGGGATGACATGGATGCTGCGGCCTTCCGCTCAATTTCATCTTCGAGATGATGGCACTAAACTAATATTTGTGGGACCTTTTGTTCTGATTTAATCCCTGTTTTCTGTCTAATGTTAACTACAATTTAATTTCGGTTTAATTTCATTCCACTGCCCCTTAAACCCGGAGAAAGACTGAATCCTGACAAGCATTCTGCGCCAAAAATGAAAGTAAAAGTGAAACCACAAGCAAAATGAAAATGTAGGTGCCAGTTGCACGGCCTCAAGCAGGCCGCTTAGAAGCAAGTGCCCAGGACAATGCCTCAAAGGAGGACCACACAAAAATACAACCAACAGACACAAAGCAGGAGGACTCACCGGGAGGGGCAGAGTGTGGCAAAGAACCTGACAAAACCACAGGCAACAAGAAGTACAATATACAACAATTTAAAATCAACAGCTGTGCGCGTGTCCTGGCATCCAGGCGATGAAAGCTTGAAGTAGCAACTCGAATTTTTCCTTTTTTCTCTGCGGCTACAAAGAAAAACAATGAAAATGGAGACTCTATAGAGGACAGAGAGAAGGGAGAGCTGGCCGGTCGGAAATAGCAAAGTAATAAATAAATTTCCTGCTCTTTTGCTGTTTTATGTTTATTGTGGCTTCTGTGCCCCATGCCATGCCATGCCATGCCGTGCCACATGCCCCTCCGCCTAACGCTTCATTAACTTTTTGGCTTTTAATATACTCGGAGGCTGGACCCGAAATTTCCCGCTGCCTATTTACCCCCCCGCATTTCCGACCAATCATCTGTGGCCCCGCCATCCATCGTGCCCCATCCGTTGTTGTCACTCAGTCAGGCGTTCATCCTCCAAAGGGTGGGCAGGGCGGATGGATGCGTCTGTGGTCTGTGCCCCAAAATTGGAAAACATTTTCTGGTTCTTCTTTTGGACTGGCGCTCTCATTTTTTTAGCCAACTTCAGCAGAAAAAGGGCCATAAAATAAATAAACAGTGAAAATGAAACGAGATCTGGGGAACAGCCCACAAAAAATTGGGCCACTTTTTAACCCTTTCGGGTGTCGAGGTGTGAGATTCGGGTGACACTTTCTCTTGTCTCACCCGCGACAAAAGGTTAGGAAGATCTAATGTTTCGATACGGAGAGAGATAATGAGGATGATGATCAAACATTTCGC